CTATTCCTCAGATGCCTCCTCGACGACATGACAGTGAGGCTGGTGGCTCCAGCTCAGCTCCACCATAGACAGATCCCACTCTCCTTGCTATTCTTGAGCAGATGAGGCAGGATCAGGCATGTTAGGCCTAGGATATTGTAGCAGCCCTAGCACGTGTTCGAGCCGTGTAGGATGAGTTCCAATTTCACGGCAATGACGAAGCTATATCAAGAGCAACGAGGCCATGCAATGCGAGCAACAGCAGCTCCCGATCTAGCAAAGACTACTTGGGTTCATGCAGCATGTCGTTACTGCTATTAGGTCTACACCGCCACAGCTTATACCTCAGCTCGGCCAGCTTGTTACCACTACAGTGACTCCAGCTTTACAGCCCAGTGGGCTTCAGAGTCAGGGAAAACCAGCTACATAGTTTGCTTCATCGACAGAGTAGGTGTCCCAGTGGTTTGCTTCGCCAGTGCCAGCCCAAGGTCCTTCCTTGACACCTATTATCACGGGCTTTACTCCGGCTCAAAGCTCCTCAGTGTTTGTGACTGACACCCCAGTCTCTAGGAGCCTTGTGCTACTTTTAGTGAGTTGACAAGGCAGCCTACACTGCCAGAGCTACGTGTCCCTAGACCTTCCACAATCGCTCCAATTACTGGGACCACAAAGATGCTCCCTTCTTCTGTTGCATCATCAGAGCCAGCTGCTACAGTGGTACCTGCAGAGTCACAGGCCGCACCAGTCCCACAGCAGACCCATACCGCTTTAGCTTCACTTCTAGTGACAGAGGGTCAGACTACTCAGAGCTCAGGATCAGAGGATGATGCTACCCAGTTTTAGATCGCTCACCGCACCTCAACGTCCGACTTGTCTGCTCCAGCCCTGCCGACCGACCCTTAGGTTTTGGTGCTTGACGTCAAAGGGAGAGAGGGATTGAGTATGATTAGATCTAGGGGGATCGATATATCTAGGGGGAGCTTATTTATTATGTTTGGCTTTTTATATGTGTGATACATTACTATGTATTCATGTTTACTTTCATGCACTGAACTACATAAGTGTGATTGTGATATTTATGTGATATGTGAGATATTTATGTGATATGTGACATGTGTGCTCTCTACTTGATCTTTGTATATGTCATGTCACTTCATTATGCTCATTTGGTTTGCTTCCGTGTTTTACTCTGATTCAAATGAGCTTTATTTCTTATACTCCTGCTTATTTCATATCTATTGAGTACATTACGTTGGCTTGGGTCATATAAGAATGCCTAACTCTTTTGTTCTTATTGTTAAAAGCTTATATGAACCAAGCATGTTGAAAACCTCATCTCTTTTACATACTCGATGTTGTATTGTCATCAATCACCAAAAATGGGGAGATTGAAAGCATCTAGGCCCCTAGTTGGGTTTCGGTGATTAATGATAATATGTGATTACTATGACTAACGTGTATTTTGCAGAGGCAATTAAGTTAGGTCATGGTAATGGCAATTGATTGGTCAATCATGGTTGTCATGCCCCTACGATAGAAATCGTTTTAGTTTTCAAAGGATGGACGACAAGGTTAAGGATGGACTAGTTCTAAGTGTCGTTTGGTGTTGAAGAGACACTTAGAGTAGTTTAGGACTTTATTTTTCCTTTGATCGTACTATTAAGGGGGGTATGGACTAGTAGCTTGACCTAGGTGAGTCTAGTGGGTTAGGTGTGGTGCACACTTGTCAAATCTAGCACTAGGTAGCTCCGAAGTAGCCCTAAGATCAATTGGAGCAAACTTCATTCACATATGATTTCGAGTTGGAAGTGAATGGAGGGTCAAATGTTGACCGAACGCTGATCCAGTTGTGACTGGACACTCGTTGTAGAGTCTGGTCAGTTCATTTGATCAAGGAGAAGCCGTCTGATTGCGATCGGACGCTGAGTGAAATATGACCAGACGCTGGGTGCTAGAGTCCGGTCAACTTCAGTAAGGTTCCAGAGATGGAGAATCTGATTACGCCAGTCCCGGCCAAGATCTTGACGATTGACGGTCGTCGAGTTCCAATTATTCTTGACGGACGCTGAACAAAGAAAGTGATCGAACTCTGGGAGCCAGCGTCCGGTCAACATCAGTAAGGGTCTAGAGAGCAGTTTTCATGACCGAACGCGTCCGGTCAGTGTTGATCGGACGCAGTTAGAGTCCGGTCACAACTTAACGGCTCTGTGTTGGGGATAACTGACCGGAGTGTTCGGTCACCTTGACCGGAGTGTCCGGTCACCCCGTAGAACGCTAACGCAACCTCCTAACGGTTCGTTTTGAATGAGGGGTATAAATACTTCCTCTATTCATCCAAGGAAGGTCTCTTGCCCATTTGATCAGCTGAAAAACACCCTTGAGAGTGCTTTGGAGAGCAAGAGCCTAGTGAGGTGATTGAGATTTGAGAATCCAAGATGCAGCCTCATTAGTGCAAGGAGAGTAGCAAGTGTGCATCCACCCTTCTCATTAGGCTTGTTGTGGTCAAGTGAGAGTTCGTGCTTGTTACTCTTGGTGATCGCCATCACCAAGATGGCTTGGTGGTGATTGAGAGTTTGGTGATCATCCGGCGGAGCTTGTGGATGACCCAACTCAAGTTATAAGCGGTTGTGGGTGATTCATCACGACGAGTGTCGAAGAATCAACCCGTAGAGAGCACTTGATCCTTGCACGGATCAAGGGGGAGCTACACCCTTGCGCGGGTGCTCCAACGAGGACTAGTGGGGAGTGGCAACTCTCTGATACCTCGGCAAAACATCGCCGCGTTCCTTCTCCTCTATTTACTTTGAACATTTACTTTTGAGCAATTCAATTCTTGTCTTTATATTCTTAGAATTGTCATGCTAGAGTAGAATTAGAACTTAGGGTGCTAAACTTTTGTGCGGTAGATCATTAGAATCACATTCTAGGCACAAGGGGTGAAGTGGGCTAAGTGTAGGGTTTAATTATTGCAAAGAATTTTAGAATTAACCAAATTCATCCCCCCTCTTGGGCATCTTGATCTTTTCAGCATGCGATCTCCTAGTCGGCAGAGCACCCCCTGTCGGCCCTAATCCACGATCATCGGCATTTGGCACGCCAGGTAGGGGTATCTCTTTTGCAGGGTTCTCTCTTTGTCTCCGAAGCGCGCACTGGAGTTCCCATCCCTCAGACAACTTACCCAGATCAACGTAAGATCTATTCGACAAGTTCACCGCCGACTACTGCGACGGCGCTCCACCAAAGGTTAGACCCAAATCGGCCAGCGCCCCAAGCTCTCCTCTTGGCAGGGACTCAGGGGCTCCAAGCTCACCAGACCTCCATATTGGAAGCTTTGTCTTCCAACCAACAAATCAAGGGGACCTGGTATTTTCCCATCTGGACGATTTCCAGCCAAAGGAGACACCAGACGAGGACCAGGCTCCCGACTACAGCACCCCCCACGTCTATAGAAGAAGCGTGTCAGACCACTCCTGACCTAACTCAACTGGGTCCTGGCGTGTTTCCGAGAGAAAATCACCACCGAATTTAAACCAAGAAACATTAGGGAACACATGCTTTATTCATATTATAGATAATACAAATATAGGTTCCCAAATACATATGCGCACTCCATAGCCTACTGTTGGGCAGATCTAACATGGACAATGCGGTCTTCTGGTTCTCAGGGCCTCCGGAAAGTTCCTGGTTAATTAGATCCATGAGTCAGGCTCGTAGAACACCTTCGATTAAACTGTTGTGGTCGTCGTCTCTGGTCTTCGCTTCGTGTTCTCTATGCATGAGATGACGATGATGTAGACGAAAACAGGGCGACGGCATGATCATGGCCTCGTCGGTCCATGGGCCGGCTATAGCGTAGCCTAGATGTAGACACTGCCCGTCCGTGTCATTCGGCCTCGTCGGTCTCGAACAACATGTTGTAGTGGTAGTATTGAAGAGATGCATGGCAATGCCCAGCTTGACCGATCGGACGTCTTGACAGTATGGCTGTGTCGACGCGGACGTTCTCGGTGGCCCCGACGTTGACCGACTTCTTCTATAGTGAAGACTGAAGACTGCAGCCTTGTCGTCGTGTTAGGCGACGGTGGAGGTGGCGACCTTTGAGGAACGCTGTTTGATTTGGTGAGAGGAGACGCAGTAACTAGGGTGCTAATCTGTTGGCAATAACTTTTGACACCAGCTTTCCAAAACTGTGTATCAAACTGATGGGCTTGTAATCCCAGATTCCCTGGCTTCGGCTGATTTGGACAACAGTAATTAGGATTGCTCCGTTAACAAGTGAAAGCTCCTTGCATTTATCTATCTCAAATAAGGCATTGAACACGTTGACAATGTCCTCTTGTAAAAGCGACATGTGAAACCATCGGGGCCTGGGGATTTATCCCAAGGCAGCTATTTTTACAACCCAGATCTCCTCATGCCTGGGAGAAGCAGCTACAAAACTGCTATACGATTAACAAAACTGAATAAAATAGCATACGATTACAGAACAAAGATCACCACACGACTAGAATGCACAGAACAAGGATCACCACACTAGTCAATCGATAAGGATTTATCCATTTAAATAAATTCTCAAAGTTTGTGCCGCTAAAGAGGGTAGGGCCTGTTTAGTTCATCCAAAATCCAAACTTTGACACTATGCAAAAGGAAGATTCCCCGTCACATCAAATTTGCGGTACATGCATGGAGTACTAAATGTTGACGAAATCAAAAACTAATTGCACAGTTTGGTTGTACTTTACGAGACGAACGTTTTGAGTCTACAGTACCTCCATGAAATCCGGCGGCGCCGAATTGGGGACCAACTAAACGTGGCCTAGAAGGAAGAAGAAAGGCACAAAACCTGGTGCCATTCAAGCATAAATTCAGAGACATGAAGTCAACAGCACTGACAACAATGCAGCGAAGAGCAATGATTACACTAATTTCCTCTCTAATTAGTCCTTTTTCTATTTGAGAGTCCACATTGCCCAACCACCTCAGTACCTCTTAATTCCAAAAATGCAGTTTGCAATGATCAACTACCTGAACAGGTTAAGATCTGAATGGATGAATGCTGCATGAGATATAAATGGAATATTTGCATACACCCCTGAAAGTGCACACCTCATGCACTCAACAACTGTGAAGATCTGAATGAAGGCCATTGTCATCCAGAAATATGCCATTTGTTTACCCTGAAAAACAATGCTTGGATTCCAGTTGCAAGCAGTGGCCAGAGCTTGTGAGCCCGTATCAAGCAGGATAGCCAATATGATGTGAAACCGCAAGAAGTGCGGCGACCACTTCCGCCTCACAACAAAGAAGTATATGGTCATGAAGATCGCTAGGAAAAGCCACCCAGGGAGTAGAGCCATTGTATCAATGAAGGCATAAGGTAGGCTGAATCTTTGCAAGTATGGATGAAGCTGATAGATAGCATCTGCATGTCCCCACATGTTGTGCAGTGGCAGAAGATAAGATACACATGCTAGGGTCCTCCACCACCATTTTGGTTTGGAAGATAACTCAGGGTAGCTCAACGGCGACAGAGATGCTTGGCAACCAACTTGAGTTCTTGGTTTCAATTTGGGGGATGACAGTAGTGGCTTGATGCCCTTGACAGGATTATACTTTGCAAAGAATGAAGGTATCGCATAACGGTGAAAATCCGCACCAGCTGAAAGGAAGAAATTTCTTATCATACGAAGATCTATAAAATTTCAACATCATCACTGGCATAGAAAGGTTTACAGTCTGAGATACTTCACCTTAAATGTAGATGGGCAACTTTAGCACAAAGGAGGAAATAATTGAGAAAAGTACTCATTATAACTTCAAATAAGATTTGCTATGACTGATAGTTGAAAACAAGCAAAAGAATTAGAATTTCAGAATACTCATCACAAGAAAGTAAATATTAATTATTAATCCTTCTGTTCCAAATTATAAGACGTTTTGGCTTTTCTAAATTGCTTTTACTATGTATTTAGATATAAAGTACATCTAAGTGCATAGCAAAAGCTATGTATCTAGAAAAGCCAAAACATCTTATAATTTGAAATGGAGGGAGTAGTTTTTAATTTTAAGCCACAATCCAGAATCCATCCACCTATGTACAATTGCCTTCAGTATAGGGAAAAAATTAACGGAACTGGACTAGAATCTTCATTTAGTGTTGTCTCCACATGGACAACAACTTCATCATGCATTGATAAAGATAAGATGTCAATGCCGTACGGTCACAAAGTGGACTAACCATAGCAAACTTTTGCTTTCAAAAAACATATTGTGTACATTGAAAATACAAACTTCCCTTGTCATTGACAAAACAAAATAACTTATAATCCAGGTTATTAAACACTTTGGGTTTTCAGAGTTAACAGGCAAGCATGCAAAATATTCCTTTTCATCCTATCAACGGCTTTCTACTGATCTCAGAAAATCAGTGAGCCCTTCTGCCATGGAAGCATGTTTTTTTTTTGAACCGGGGAGATTCCCCATTCCCATTCATTTTGAACGGAAATACATGCTGAGCACCGGGTTCGAGCCCGGGTGGCCGAGCTCACGACTGGAGCGTCTGACCAAACGAGCGACTCACTCGTTCCCCACCATGGAAGCATGTAGCAAGTAGAAATTAAGTTTCTCCTTTGATCATGCAACTTTCCACTTTTTAAAAGAAAAACAAATGCTGACAATTTGGTCAGGAGGAATAAAATGGTGAAGCTTAATTACAAACTAAAGATAGTCAAACGTTTCCCAACTATGCCGCATAATATACCAAACTAAGGTAGTTCTTCCCCAAAAACTATTTTAAGAAAGAATAGTGGCCTTGCCAATTGAGATAGAGATTCAGTGGTAGCAATAAGCCCATAAGCACAGCTTAATTACACCCAAGCATATCCAGATGCTAATTCAATCAACGCTAATCCAATAGCCTACCAGAGTAACTAATACATATGAATTGGATCACATTTTCAAAGTGCTCAGATGAACAGAAATATCCATTCACATTCTGGTCATGTGTTGGGTGTTTCTAGGAGCAGGATTTGCCTCTCCATTGTATTTCCCTTATTCTTAATGAAATGGCACACAGCTCCGAGGAAAAAAGACAATAATATTCATGCACAAGTAAAAATTGCATATAGGAAGAAAACAGAAGTGGATTTACCTCTCAAAGCCAAGGATTTCTTCTCATGACGAAATGCAGGGCCCTGCAGTCTCAGAAACGCCGCGCTAGGGTAAAAAGATGGCCTCGTGGGAGAACCATAGCTGTTTGCAGCAAGAGCACCAGGCAGATGAGGATTTGCAGTAGCCACTCCATGACAGGGAAACATGGTGTGCTGAAGCAGCGGCTGCTGGCTCCCGCTGCCCGCCGGCCGCGCGCGGCGCGCAGCGCAGCCGACGGGGCCGGGCGCCGTCTACGGTCCACCGGAGGCGGGAGGTGAGCGGGAGGCGCGCACGCAGGGTCGCCGGCCGGTGTGCGGAGGACCGTGGCGAACGCGGACGCCGAGGGGCCGAGCCGCGCAGGAGAGAGGATATGATCTGGAACCGGGACTAGCGACGGCCGGTTTGGATTAGGCAACGCTTTGCGTCCCTGTGGAGACGACGTCACGACAGTGGACAGAGAGGCCCTAGACGTCGGCGCGTCGCTGTGCAGCCGCTTGGGCCTTGAGTGCGCAAGCAGTGGGCTGTATAGGACGGCCATGGGCTGACAATTTCTTTGAGTTACTTACTGGGCCAAGGCCAGTGACGACCCGTATGGCACCCGGAGTTGGAATTGGAAGAAGGAAAAAGTTCCTTTAACCCCTTAACTTTTATGATAGTATGCCTCGATCTACGGGAACTTTGAGTTGCTACTATGCTTCACATTCCTGTAGTATCATGTGTACAGCAAATATATTTCTTCTTGAGTGAAAAAATAGCAATGTTGAAAACTTACACATATTATCTTAGTCATCCATTGGACATATGGCCTTATCCTTTGTCTTGGGTGGAGAATAGCTTTGACTTGAGCACTATTTTCTTATCCCGCCAAGTTTCATATCAGAGGCTTTTGCAATATTTTTCAAAAAATACTTAATGTTCCTCATATGGTACTCTCATGTCGCTCGTATGGTGTTTGATTCCTCATCATGACATATTTTTGAAACTGCATTCTCATCCTACTTCTAATCGCTTATGTGGAACTTTGGGTAGGATAAAAGATGTAGCATACTTACCTTAAATATATAGTAAAGCCAAAGCTTAGATCCAAGAAGAGAAGTGCCATACACTTTCAAGATGTGCATGTGTAAAACATGATATAAATATACTCCTTTTGTAGATATGATCCCCCCTCTCTATCTCTCTAACTTATTATTTTGAGATATGGTTGTCTTTCCTTCTATTTTCTATTCATGAGCTTTCATGTGCTCACATTTTTTCAATACATTGGACCTTCATGTGTCCATTTTTTTCACATACTTTTGCATAGCCTTATGTCTCATATACTATAAACATGTTTAAAGAGAGGTGGCACTTTTAGAATATAGAGCATTTATTTGATGGAAATGCATGAAAGGCACGTTTTTATGTACTCTCAGTATAGAAGTAGCACATATATATGACGTGCACGTGATCTTGATCTTGGGAACAAGATAAGTCTCTCAACAAGGGTTCAACGAGACTTGACGAAACTTAACACAAAGCAAGCAGCTTATGTAGAAAGCTTATATCATGTAATAAGATTATATATGAGTTTTTGGTAGGAATTTATCACCATTGAGGAACACTAAGGTTTTCATCATTTTTCAAAGACAAAACTCTGATAATCATACCCATTTGGAACAATATTATAGCAGCTCTTGTCTTGTTATCTCATATCTCAAAACAACTTAGACTTAGTTTTATAGCACTTGCATCCCACAAATTTTTAGGTTCATGGTGGTTTCATATATGAGCTCAATAATCAAACTTAGAGAAATACCAAGATGTATATTAGGCACTAGAAAAATATTAACAAAACAAACTATTCATCATCTCCAAAATGGGAAGAGTTAAACATTCTTCATGAAGCATATATAAAAAAAGAAAATTATTTTTTTAGTATTTTTTGTCATATTCAAATTTTTTATATGCAATAAAGGAAGAAATAAAGAAAAGAAAACAATGCAAATGTAGGAAATAAAAATGAGTCTGTCTATTACACAACCATATGTTTTATGCAGTTTCAACACTTGAATTTTTTTGCACCATAGAATTAAGATCCAACAGCCTCCACCCTCCTTCTACCTCTAGCCTCCAGCCTTCTTCTACCTCTAGATAATCATAAATCACAAGATCACAGATCCACATATCGACAGATCACAAGAAACAATTTTTTCTATGGAAGGACAAATCACAGATCGCAGAGGAGGGAGGAGAGGCCTACCTTGTAGATCATAAAACTGGTGTGGAGGCCACGCTTGAATTTCTCTATGAAGATTGCAAGATGACAACGAGAAGTTTTGCTTTCGCACTGATGCTACGATTGTCAGAGAGCACGGACATTGTCGAGACTGCTATCAGATGTTTGCAGTCATTCACATCTTCGATGAAGCATATGGCTGAAGCTATATTTGGAGAACTCACTCGCCTTCCTCTGCAAGACATTTCTGTGTTTTTTGTGAAAGAGAGAGGGAGAGAAAAAATCCATGTGTTTTTTGTGCTAAAACACATGTATGTTGTATAGCATTTCTGAATAAAAATTTACCTTAGTTATATTTGGTAACCTCCCCTTCTCTCTATCTCTCTCCAATTTTGACAATCACTATATATATAAGATAATAAATGTATTTATCTATCAGACGCGTTATTCGCCTTCATGACACCCTGCAGTTATATTTGGTGACTTCTAACGTGCCTACAAAGTACAAGCTCACATGATCTACATGGAAAGCACAATATGTAAAGAGCGACATTACGCATATATAAGTTATATATATTGTCTAGCTTGGTCCAATTAGGCCCAACCGCCCTACGATTCATCATCAATATAGCACGCCATCGACCCGTGCATAGGTGCGACAGAGGTGGCTGCAATGCCTCCTCTCACGGCGGCATGCATGCGGCTATGGCAAGTTTAGTAGAAGTTGAGCTTCCTTCATGGAAATGTCGTCGTACGTGCGTCGAGTGGCGACAGATGAGCTACTCCAGACACGTTGTTGCTCATAGGTTGGTCCGGTTGATTTTATGTTCTCTGTCCCTTGACTTTGCTTCAGTCGTTCCTTATTATAGATTCTAGCTATATATCTAGTAATGCTTCTTAGCACTCGGTTATCTTGCTTCTCTTTTCTCGGTCACCATTGGACCCCGGACAAGACGCAATGGCACCGGCTAGACGCTCCGGGCTGCTTTCTATGCAACCAGAAGCCGGAGTCCATCGACCACATCATTGCGTCGTGCTTCTTCTCCGGGAAAGTATGGTGGAACATCCTATCCGCCCTCGGTGTCGACGCCTCACAGGTCGGTGGGCTTTCCATTCTAGCATGGTGGATCTTCTGGAGGCAGCGATGGAGCGGCGACAAATGCAAGGGAGCCAACTCACTCCTCACGCTCGTGGCTTTAAAGTTATGGAAGGAGCGGAACGCAAGATTTAACTTTTTCGATTTTAATATAAAGATACACAAACCTTTTGCGATTTGAGGAAAAAAAAACATGTGCTAGCTAATTAGCAGCGCAACAGTACTGGCTACTGAGTTGATATCATAATAATTAACATGTGAAAAGATCATCGATATATATAACTACAGACGAACACAGTAGTACGACCAAAAGAACCAAAAGTAACTGTGATAAAAAAAAAATATGATAAGTTATTCTCAATGCACGAGTGCACGATGATGATTGAGTCCTCCGAAGAGATTGACTGGACCTTCTGAAACTACCCAAAACTAACAGCACGTCAGGATAACTTACAACGCTAACTTTACTTACCCTGACCTGCCATTACCAGCTTCCAGAAAGGCAGCACGCCTTACGTGCATGCACGGGTTAATTCTGCAGAATCGAACCAGAACCTGAACACGTCGAAACATGACAACGATAACCAAATAACTCTAACCTAGACTTGGATCTTCTAGCTAGCTAATCCCCTATCACTAGCCACTACCTTCTGCCCTCTTCTTCGTCGACCGTACCGTCACCGGTCACCCCATGCCGTTGAAAGGAGAGCTCCAGTTGTTAGAGTACCCGTTCGCCTTCGCGATGCTCACCGTGGATCCCGAGCCCTGCGAGAACTGGTACCCGCTCCTCGCCGCAGCGTACGGGTCCCCGCCGGCTGCTGCTGTCGCCGCCACCATGGCGTCGTACCCGATGAGCTTCCCCTCCTGGTGATCGTCCCCGTAGCTGCACGTGCTCCCCTGGTTGTTGGCCGTGCTGCTGTGCCCCTGCTGGTCGGCCGCCACGACAGTGCTCGACGGCATGAGGAAGGAGCTGCCGCCACTGAGGCCCTGGTACCCGCCGCTGGTGGTTCCGCCGCTGTTGTAGACTGCCGAGCTCGACGACGCCTGGAAGAAGTTGTGGGCCGCGCTGCCGAGGTGCAGCTGCTGGAGGTCCTGCAGGCTGTGCGCGGCGGCGGCGACGGCTGCGTCCTGCTCGGGCTTGCACCACCCGCGGGACGGCGGCTGGCCGTACGGGTAGTGGACGGAGAGCGGCGACGGCTGCTGGAACGCGATGGTCGGCCAGCCGTGGTGGCCGTACGTGGCGTAGCCGCCCATCCCGGCCTCGGCCAGCTGGGAGATCACGCCGCCGTCCATGTCGGCGCGCCAGATGGTGGCGCCGGCCTCCACGTGGTCCACGGCGTCCTTGAGGCGCCTGGCCGCGCCGCCGACAGGCAGCGTGCTGCTCTCGAGGATGCTCTTGACGTCGTAGCGGCTCATGTCGAAGTTGGTGACGGCGTTGAGACCGCGGAACTTGATCGCGGCGATGTCGTAGGCCTCCGCCGCCTCCTCCTCGGTGCCTACGTACGAGGGAAGGAATGTGCACGACGATTAGCTGTAGTATGGTGCATGATTAGGGTTGTTTCCCAATGCAGGTTAGGTCGATCGTAGCTATATTTTGCATATTGCATGCATGCATGCTGCATGCAGGGTGCAAACTGTGTGATTCAAAGCACTAGGGTTTTCTGCTCGACCCTTTGACCCCATGCCCCGGTTTTCTCAGACAACTTTGAGACAAAAACTTGGAAAGGTACATTTGGGACATAGTTAATGCTGTGATCACTATTTTATGCTACCATAGGGCAACATATAGAATATCTAATCTTCAGTTCTACGAGACGAAGATTTCAAGAAATTTGACTAAAAAAGTACAGAGC